GTTCCCATTAGATCATTTATCACAGAAGGTCCATAGCAGTAATTTTCTTTCAGGCTGGTGTAGATAAAAATCTTATTCACTATGCACAGGTGGACCTATTGACGTCAATGGATCAGTATATTTACGTCGTTTTATCCAAAGTGGCACCTCCCTGTGCACAGATAATTCGATAGAAGCAGTCATCGATCATCACTCATGGGCGCTGGCCACCGGTACCAATAAAAATTGTCTCCAGGAAATCTTCACTGAGCGACGGCATATTTTAGGGACGTTTGAGAAATCATGATTTCTTATCGTTGTACTCGGACTTGTAGCGTGGCCACGTATGTTCCCTATACCTTTATACTTACGAACTTCTTTCCTGATCGTTAAATAAATATGTTATAGTAAGGTGCTGCTGGCTTTCCGTGAATGTCCTTGAGCTTTGAAGTCTTCGTTTCTTCAGCTTTGTTTTGAAATTGCGGGCGGCCGATACTGCTTTAAAATATTTTTAAAAAATTAAAAAAGAAATAAAAGCTGTGCATATTGGTAGGTTCAAATGAAAGACGGTATCATTATATAAGGGCTCGAGAATTGGAATTAAATTTCCATCTTTCAGTAGAACACCCAGAGCATTTCTGTTTTCCATTTTCATTCCTCCACTAGAACGAAAACTAACAAAACTTAGACCTGCCAAAGTCGCGAAATTTTATAACACTCGACATAATGATAAATGCCCATTCGAACTGGTGAATTTTGTTTAAATATGTCAGAAACCCTCACTGAAGTGAGACAAGTGACAGAGGATCACATTTCTTTGTATGTTGTGTTTGCTCATGTCAGTGTTAATTTTTTTGAAAAGTAAACACGAGGGTTTCTAACCTAACAGAAAATACTCGGATGTGCCTTGTACCTTGAAGTAGATTTTGCGGAGTGTTGGCACTATTATTATTGGAATATCACATTTTTCTGCGGTTTTTGAGCGAAACGTGATACAAAAGGATGAAGTATGACGTACCGTGAAACCGCTTTGGCGCCATTTTTTCTCGCGGTTAACCTTCCAACGTGCATGACCGCGAAGAGGGATACCATTTACGTACGTAACTTCGACACCCATTGAAATCCGACCTACTGATGTTCAAGTCTAATTGGCGATTAAAGGTCGTCACGGCTTTGATTCGGAGTAGGCTAATCTTTTGTTTATGCCACCTCGAGTCGAAACAAGAATTTTCTTTCACGAGAACTGAATTGGCAGTTTGTATTTGCATTCGAGAATGGAAGACATCGATAAGACCAGATGAGCTTTCGTCAAACGAACTCGCGTGGACTGGAGTAAACAAATCGATATTTTCCCTCTGCGATTTATCAGAAGCACACGGTTATATTGCGATTTAGTCAGCAGATTTACCAATCGGCCATGCAATGCCATGAGCGACCGTCAGAAAACATGGAGGTCGACGTCTTCGGGCGCCACATTCGTGGAGGAAATTCTTCACAAGTATAATTGCAATTCCGAAACAGAGAATTTCTTCGCGAGGATGTCCAGTCAAACTTTGGCGGAGCGGCTAGCAGCACTGAAGGGGCACGTTTTCTCCAATACAAACACAGAATATGCCAACTACGATCAAACCAATAACGGTGAAGGAAGGAAAATTGACTTGTCAAACAATACCCCTCCCTTGAGGCAGTGTGTGTTAACTAATGCTGACGCTAAACACAATCCAAGTGGTTTTCGAGTTGACTCAAGCAAACCCTCTAAGAACAGTGATCAGAGCGAACACGTTCAGCAAGAGAATTGTGCTGCTCATGCGAAAAAGGAAGAAGACATATTGGATCCAGGTCCTGCTGAAAGAAACTCAAATTTGGCGCTCGGCGACCAAAGTCTCGGGGGGGAAGATGACTGTGTCTTAGCGAGTCGATTTCCAGCGTTGAGTTGCGGCGATAACGTCAGTGATGGCAAGGATATAATATGTCTGGATCATTCTAAGCAATTAACATCTACTCCGCTAGTTGTAATAACGCCTGCCGTTATGGATAAGTGTGCCGACGAAGCTACTGTTGACATGGGGAGCACGAACGGTGGTGTGAATGGAGAGCTTTTTGCGACCATGTCTGCAAAGGACACAAGCGACACATGTTCTTTGTCAAGCTTTGGGTCCTGCTCAGAGAACGAAATTCTCACCGATGACGAACCTTCAGATGATGAAATGAGGCAACCAGTAGAAGACAAATCAGAAAAGGTAAGATTGTAAGCCTAACTTTCTTTTATTTACCAATTGTTTTTGCTCTGCAGAGATCATCAATCATGGCGGGTTCGCGTAACTTTTTGTGAATTTTAACAGCCTCAGCCTATTGTTTGCCTTTTTGGAAAGAGCTGTGAATGAAATACGCGGTATTGTTTGATGGAGTGATTTTTTCCGGCTTGGAAAAGCCCATTCTAACTTCATAAAGCAGTAGTAGTTTACTTAGGTTATTTTAGTGTTTATTTGCTTTGGCAGCCTGGATCAAGGAAGGAGGCTTCGTTTGTTGATGTTCCATTTAGAATGTGTTTATTTCGACATGCATTGCCCGAATAATATTATTATTAGTTCAAAGTGTCTGGAGTTTCTTTTGGCGATGGTTTGTTTTGGGTCGCTCCCTGGCGTCCAAGACAAATTGCTATGGCTGCACTAGTAAGTTATCTTCCGACATGTAGACTAAATTCTTGCCCACTAATCAAGCCGTATATCTTTCGTCGCTGTGAAGATAAAGCATGATCTATTCTCAATAGTGGCTTGATTTAGTTATCTCTTCTTTGACGTGACACCAATTGTGAAAATATTTTCACATGGCAACTGATAGGTCAGTGCACAGTTGGGAGAATAACACACTTGTGAAATCAAAAATGTCAACAAAGCCGGTCAAAAAGTATGCGGCTTAGTTTGTGCAAATGCCTTTAATCTTTAATTCGGTATAGTGACCTCTACAGAGTAGGGATCAATACATTCTCCTGAGTTTGGAAAATCATGAACTCACTAAATTTCAAAAGAAGTAATTCATAAAATAGTGTTTATCACTTGGAAGCTGAACATAACAGTTACTGTTATCGCATCTGAGATAGAGAAGATATGGAAAAATAAATAGAGCACGGAAGGTGAAAAAAAAAAAAAAAAATAGAAAAACCTGTACATGGAAAGGAATTTTAGTTAAAGTGTTAAGTGAATTTCTCCAGTATTTTTCTGAAGGTCATGTTCAGAAAGGTATTTGGTAGAGATTAATTTTTAGGATTATATCATTTGCACATGCCACATGGATTCAAAATGGCAAATAAAGAATGAGAAAATATTATCACGAACAATACAGAAAACAAAGCACTTTTTATTAGACTGGCAAAGTAATTGGCATTTAATGCAGTTTTGCATAACTTGTGCCACTTTGTCGTGTCCAGTCAGAAGTAAACCAAAACTGATCATGTCTTACTGGCACGTCTTGCTGTGTTTTGCATCAGCTACACGTATTTGGTTCAAGTTTTTGTTGTTTCACTGGTGTCATGAAAGTTCCAGTATAATTGTTTGACAGTTTATCCTTTTTTTAAGTTGCGTAATTCAGGGAATCTAGGAATGATAAAAATCGGAAGCACGTGCCTGACAGTGTCAATTAGTTCAGTCGATGATTACCAGTTAATTAGCACCAGATTGTAAACGCGTTCCATCTCATCAACAAAACATGTAAGTTTGCCTGTCAGGTAATATTCTGTGATTAAAGAAACTGTTTAGAAAAGGTTGTGAGCCAGTCAAAGTAGGTTTTGCTGAGTGAGAAACATATCAGCTTGATAAGTGATAATTTCCAGTTAGAAACTATTTCACAACATCAGTCTGCAAGACAAAGAAAACAATGAGTTGAAGGCATGGATAAATTTAAAATTGAAGCATACTTTAGTTGAGTTTGTCCTCCTATTGCCATATTGGCTAACATAACAGCACATAATATTTAGGTGGGAGCAAGTGAAAACTGAAATTTACAGACCCACCAGGCTAGTGGATTTCAAAGGTCTTTTTTTCTGCCCTTAATCACCACAAGGAAAAGTATACCAAGCCGAATGGTCTGATATATATGCCTGCATCAAATATGTGTTAGCTAAGATGTAACACTTTCTAGCTATAGTGTTGGTTGGACAGGACATTTTCTGGTTTTGTGCTTGTCATAATCT